CGCCGCGCCGCTGCCCCCGGGGAGCCGCCTGCGGCGGAGCCGGGCAGGAGGCCGAGCACGCGGAGGTGCGGGGCGGGCGGAGGAGAGAGGGCTCCGGGAGCTCCGAGCAGCCGCGCGGGTGCCGGCGGAGTGCAGGAACCGCGCTGTCAGAGCAGCCGACGCGTTCAGAACGAAGCCTGCAAAAAGCCTCGGACTGGGAGAAGTGGAGGAGAAGGAGTCCGAGATGCTCCTTGTTGCACCCTGTGCCAGGGAGCGGCGAGTGTCTCCCGGGCCCGCGTGCTGGGGCAGTTAGTGTTTGAGCTGGGAGCTGTGCCGTGCCTGCGAGCTCTGCCATTAAAGTGCTGCCGGCCACACGTGGCTCCCTGGCACGTGCTGAAGGACGGCAGAACTAAAGCCACCTTAACCACTGCCAGACAGAAGTGACACAAATGAATTATCAAGTGAACTGTCTGGCCAAAACTGAATTTGAATAGGAAGGAGAAAGAAGGTTTATGAGAACTCTAGGATCCCACAGCAGCCTTGGTATAAAGAGTATGTAAAGTCTTTGGAGAAACGGCCTGGAAGAGCAGAGAGCCCCAACAGCCCCTGCTGACCTGCACATCAATTCCATTTACCTTCTCATAGGCTGATGCGTTGGGGGAGGCAAAAATGTTCATTTTAGRTTTTTTTGTTGTTACTGTGTGTTTTGGAGGCTATGCAGCATGCTAAGTACATAAAAAAGGCAGTTATATCCCTGCAGTTGTGTATGGCCCTTTTTTAAACTTCATAAAGAACCCAGAGACATCTGTGATTGTAAATATGACYCTGATAGTGTCACAACATAAGGGAGTCTTACCCAAATAGGATTTCCATTTTTGGAATAAAGAACCAATGGATTGATATTAGATCCTCTTCAATAAGTAGATATGTAGATATAAGATATAGTAGATGCAGATATAAGTAGTTRTAAGTCTAGTTAGTTTTTTCCTGACACTATTTGTTAGTGTTATGGCCTTTTTGAGGTAATAGTGAATTACTGCTCTTCTGCAACATAGTGCTTGAGGCCACAGTGTGAACATGCTGCAGATTTTTATTGTGGGAGAAAGCAATGCTCTGAAGTTTAATTCTGTGCTAATATATCTGTTCTGGGAGTGAAATGCACGGGCATAGTCCTAAACACTAAGAAAATGTGTGCACATTGATAGATACCTTTGATGTGATTAAGACRTTCCCAGCAAACGATTCACCAGATGGCACATCAAAGGCAGTTGCTCAGATTGCCTTTCAGAGCTTTAGCTAATCTTTATAGTGTGTGGGCTACCATCCGTGCCACAACTTTTGCATTAGTTATTTGTCCTGTATTACCTTGTCAAAATGTGGTGATCTTCCTTGTATTTGCCATCATCTAATACCAAAAAGTGATGGAGGACAGGAGGGAATAGTGTTGAGCCATCTTGACTTCAGACTTGGAGATTCCTGGCTATTTCCTTGGAGGGGAGGGGGGGGCGCGGGGGGAAGATTTTAGCAGGATAGACGTGTGGCTATCACCCTGCTTTGGATCCCATTTTCTGTACTGTTGTCCTCTGTTGCTTCATATCTGTTCCTGTCATGGCCACTGCCTTCCTGTGTTTCTCCCTCAAGTCRGAGGAGGGCATTCAGTGCATGCATGAATACTGGAGAAACAAGTGGGGTAAACTTGGCCTGGTGGGGTGCTATGGGAGGCCACATCCACGCTGAGAAGAGCTAGCTGTAACATGAACCATATGGTCTTGGGGACCAAAATTTTGATGGCTTTCAGGGAGCCGCTTACCTGCATCTTAAGGCCTTGGTGAGGCAGATTAAAAGTCTAGCAACTATCTAGCCCCAGTTAACTGCTTTCTTCTTCCAAGTTTTCTCAGGGTTTACTTGCACTCTTACTATTTGTTTTAGTGGGTTGGGATGTTACTTATTATCTCTTGCTTTACCTATTCCTGACTTTCCCATTTGGATGTGAATTTCAGTTGTTCTCTCAACATTTGGTCTCCTGACTGATAGGAACAGTCTCCCTTTGATGTATCCATAGGTATGTATTTTTCCATACATTATCCTTAACAAGTCTGAGCTTCATTGGCTTGATTTAAATCTAAGTAGGCAGGATCCAGCACTAGCACTAACACAGAGCCCAAATTTACACAGCCATAATGCATGAATCATCTCTGAAATGTTGCCAAGTTCTAGGAGGCATTATGTAGTTTATTTGCATGCATCTCTCTTTCAAGATCTCTGTAAGCCCCCGCAGTAAGATTTCCAGAAGGATAAAAGTTATTTAAATGAATGCAGCTTGTAAAAACCTGCCAGGTGTTGCATGGAAGTTGGGAATATTCAGTGTATTTGGCTTTTTTTCAGGTCATGATCTGTACCTGCCATACTTGGTCCCATAGTTGCTGGCTTCTGCTGAATGCCGATTAGCTGATGTCTTATTTTTGAAGTTGCCCATAAGCCTAGAAGTCATGTTTGAGAAATAATGTAGATTGTGTTTGGCTGATAATTATACTTTACCAGAGGTGGTTAAAATAGAGTTTACCTTTCAAAAGTTGCAGTACTTGCTTATCTCCTGGTTCTTTGCTCATCTGAAACAAGGAAAACAGGTAGGTTTCTTACATTTCTATTTGCAGTCACTTTCCCCTTCAGGCTGAAGTGTTGGGGTTTTTTTTTCTTGTGGTTTAGAACCGTAATCTGCTTTTAATAATTGTCATGTCCTATCCCTTTATTGAAAGGAAGCAACAAGTGATTAAAGTCTAAAGAAAAACTTAAAAAACTTGTAGCAATTGCTGTAATAACTTTTATTGTAGTGCCTTGGATTGCATATTAGCTTTGCATGCAGGTATGTTCAGGATATAGCAAATGTGCAGCCAAGCTTGTTTTGCTGCCACAGGCATTCACATCACTCACCTGAGAGAGACCTCTGTCATTTTTTCCAGCATAAGAGCTGAGTAGCACCTGCATCTGCAGGGAAAGTGAATGAAATGAAAAATCAATATGAACACAAGTCTTGCTTCTGTGTTGCTGTTCAGGTGTGCCTCGTTGGTTGCCTACTCTTACTTAGGTGAGGCTTAAATGTCAGGCCTGATACTTTAATGCCTGGCCCTTTAAAGTTAGCTTACCCTTACCTTCTTTTTAAATTGAAGAAGGAATAAAAAGTGAAATCTCTGTTTCCAAATGAGTTTTGTTGTCAAGACAATAAAAGAGGCAGCATGCTATGAGAGACCCTCAAGTCCTGTGGCAGTTGATCAGGCCAAGTTTGCAGTCAGCTTTGAGCTTTTCTGCAGAGGCTGTGAAGCCATTTATCCCTTGGCTGGAGATGACACTAGAAAGTGGATTAACTTTCCTCTTCTCTGTCCCCCTTGTTTCAGGCCTGGCTGCATTGCAGGTGCAACACGCCTTTCTCCAGTGCGCTGGCGGACGCCGTGTGGCCTATACATGATGAGAGTTGTGAGGTCTCAGTGTCTCAGCCAGTGATGCAGTGAGAAGGCTGCGGCTGTGTTTTCCAAGACAGAAAAAGAGCAAGATGGGGAAGAGCATCAGCAGTGTCCATTGCCTGCATTTCAGCCAGCTTGATTTGTCCACAAAATAAAAAAGGTACTTCATTTCATTAGGAGGATAAGCCTTTCTGTATAAAAGGTCCAGTAATATCTTGTTTATCCTTGGTTCCAGCTGGCTTGCTGTTTCCCATGCTTATTTTAAAGGGAAAGAGTTCAATGGGCTGAAAAGCTACAGCTAGCAGATAAGTTAGCTAAAACTTCAGATAAGCAGTGTGAGGCTGCCTGAACTCCCACTCCTGATGGTAGTGGTGATACTTTAGTTTCTGCAAGTTCCCTTTTTGTGGCGCTGTTGCAGTTTGAAGGGGGGCAAATTGAGCAAGAAATATTTACTAGGCTGAGAATCCCTCAGCCGATCCTAAGAGGTTAGAGGAACTGGGACAGCTGGACTCATCTCTTAATAGGGATACCTATTAGATCAGATTACTACTTCCTCAGGGAATCCAATGGAGTTTGGCTGTGATGTCTCCATTCTGCTCCACTCTTCATTTATTCTTATTAGCGTGTGCTAGCAAGGCAGACTGTGTTGCTGAGGGAATCGTGGAGGAGTAGTTTCTGTACATACCACCCATCCTGGAAGTGGTAGCTGTGTCTCATCTCAAGCAAGCCTCTGTAATGCCATAACTTCTGTTAGACTCTAGTTTTACTCTAATTTTCTCTTTCTCGAGCAGTTTTCCCACAGGCACATCAATGGTAAGGGACAAACCTAGTGTGGTTCCCGAACTGGAACAGGATGTCTCATGTGGCTGCAGCAAGCTAGGATGAGCTACCTGATGCATGCAGCAAAGGAAGATAGAAGGTAAAGGGAGACAGTAATTATTGTTCTTAGAGCTCTTCCAAATGAGAGGCAACCAACTCTACAGAAAGGGAGTCATTTGCTTTTAGAAAAAGTTGTGCAACTCAGAAAAGAGAATGGAGAATGACAGATTTCCCCCAATAAAAAAACCTTTTCCTCATTGGGACTTATTAAGATATAGACATTTTCCCCAAAGGAAAGCAATGTACAAAGCAGTCCATCAAAGTGTAGTCTTGAATGGTTTCATTCTGGTAGTGTGCTTTCTCTGAGGCTTCATGGTAATGAACAGCTCTTTCAGAAGTTCATACCAAATGCCTTCTGTGTTCAAGGAATTACATGTGAAACAAATCATATTGATTTCTCAACTGAAAAAAGTGCCTACAAAGGCCACCGAAAGGACTGAAATTGCCATCTATAACTACTTAGTTTGTTTTGGTAACTAATTACTATGTGCTGGGGTTTTTAAAGTTTTTAATTTACATATGCAGAGTTAAAAAGCTGGAGTGGAGAATTCAGACATCTGCTATATCCAGAGATGTGGGAGATCAACCCGAAGCCATGTGGGAATCAGGTGGGCTAGCACACTCCATTATCTTGTCCTGCTGCATCCTTGACACCCATGCTAGGGACAGAGAGAACCTTCCAGAGAGAACCTTCCAGACAGAGAGAACTCTGTCATCAGAGAGGTGAGAACCAGTTGCCTTTAAAGCAATAGTGTTCCCATTCCTGGATTTTGGACATGGTTGGCTTTGGATATCCTTGCCAGTCTCAGAGAGGAAGCATAGAAAGTTGGTATGCTTGAAGGTGGGCCATTTTTCACCCCTTTTTAAGGATCTCTTGTGCCATGGAAAATTGTCAGGATGTCAAATCTGCATGCCAGTAGTGAGTAGGGACTTCTGTTGGGTGGGGATATTTATGCTGGTGTGTCTATACCAGAGGATTTGCTATGAGCTGCTTGTGTAGTTCCTGTGGGAGGGACTGTGGGGAGGAGAGGTTGTGTATATGCAGGAGGGGGAAGGTTTTGCAGAGCTACACCCCACCGCTTTTAGGGACTGAAGATCCGTTACAGGCCACGTGATGGCAGCTCACATCAGAGTTGTCAGGAATCTGTCTTTGAAGTGTAACCCAAATGCATATGCGAAAACAAACCAAGACAAGCCAATAGCCCAAAGAGAGTCAAACAGACAAAATCCCCACCAGCTCCCTCTGGGATAGGCATCAACTATCACATGCAATGCAGAAGAAAATTCATACCTGTGTCCTTGACATCATCTGAACATATGTTGATTTTATTGGCTGCTTA